ATGTATGTATATATATCTATATATATATCTATATCTATATATATATACAATGTGTGTGTATATATATATATATATATATGTATATGTATATGTATATATATATTCATTCACTATATTCACTATATTCACTGTATTCTCTCATTCGCACACATCACACTTTAATATCCAGGTATTGGCCAGCATGAGCTCAACGTCAAGTACACCGAGATGCTTGAGATGGCTGATCGAACAATAGTATATAAGCAGTGCCTAAAGGAGGTTGCGGAACAGTTGGGTGTGTCAGTGACGTTCATGGCAAAGCCCTCTAATGACCAGTCCGGATCCAGTTGCCATGTGCACGTGTCAATGTTGAAGAAAGTAAGAGGGATATGGGGTGGATTGTATGTGGGGGGTTCTGTTACAGGTATAGTGAGTATGTGCGCGGTTTGTTTGTGAGGTGTTTGTATACAGTCGGGTTAAGAGTGAGAGTGTGTGTGTGTGGTCAAGCTGGTGTCATATGTCATACATACTTACTTATGCATGCAAGCATGCATGCATACACACAAACATACATACATACATATATACAGAAATACAGAAAAACAGAAATACATACATACATACATACATACATCATACACACACACATACATACATACATACAGAAATACATACATACATACATACATACATGCATACACACACACATACACACTCCATTTTATCAACACACCACCTTCTCCCTACCCACCCACACAGGACGGAACATCCGCCTTCTACGATACAACCCGCAAATGGAATGGTCTACACGTATCACAGGAGTTCCAATATTTCTTAGGTGGACTGATCAAGTACATACCTGAGTGTATGCCGTTTATTGCACCTACTATTAACTCGTACAAACGCTATGCCGAAGGGTCATGGGCCCCAACACGCCTGGCCTGGTGCGCGGATAACAGGACCGCTGGATTCAGAGTGGTGGGAGAGGGACAGGCTACACGAGTGGAGGTGTGTGGGAGAGGTAGCTGGTGATATGTGTGTGTGGGAGGTTATTTTTAACGGGGATTTTGCTGTGTATGTAGGTATGGGTTGTAGGTAAATGTATGTGGAAGTATGAGATATATATACATACATACATGCACATACTTATATATTTATATATTTATACATATATATATATATATGTGTGTGTGTGTGTGTGTATATATATATATATATATGTGTGTGTGTGTGTGTGTATGCATGTTTTTATGTATGTATATATATTGATATGAAACAGATATGCATACAGATGACGTGTATATATCACACGTGTGCACTTGATGAACATTTATTTGGGTACACAACTAAGTTGGCCTCCGCAAGATGTTTCCGACTTGATACCCCCATGTTTGGCTCACTTTGACAATAGACTATCGAGTATCGTAGCTATACATACACATATCTACATATTCCTGTTCTTCTATGTGTGCACAAGTGGCATCGTACGCGTCTACACACTCCTAACTTACGATCGCCCCCAATACTTCTCAATAGTAGTCTCAGTATTGTGCATAGGCGCACTCCTGTGCATGAATCAGCCTCATCGGGAACACTCTCAAGTTAGTTGAGCGTACATGCTTTGAGCAGGCAAAGCAATGAAGCACGTGTTCTTCTACGATGTTAAGTGTGAAGTTTCTGAGGTATATATAGCATACACACTATATACCTATATGCTCATTTTAGATACGGCATTCACTAAGCATATCTTGGGTTGCATATAAACCATATTGATCCAGCTTATACCTTAAAAACTCCCCCGGGCACTATCCCCTTATACTTCTTTAAACAAACACCCTGCCCCCCCTTTATACTTATATCAACAAACTTATGTCAACAAACATCCTGGCACCCCCCTGTACATCTATTAGGTACGAATTCCCGGGGCAGACGCCAACGTATACCTGTGCTTCGCTGCCATCTTAGCCTGTGGCCTGGAGGGTATGCGTACACGAGTTGAGTGTCCAGATCAGTTTGCCGGTGATGTGTATGCGGCAAAGGCTATCCCTGAGATCTCCAAGACGCTGGCGGATGCAGTTAGAATGTTCGACAACTCGGCGTTTGCGAGGTATGGTGTATGTTTTGGTTAAGGGGGTGCTTGTTTTGTTGCCCCGTTTGATGTGTGAGGTATATTTATATATGCGTTATAAGTCTAGTATGAAGATCATGTTTGTGTACACTACCATGTGTGTTCCAGGACGAGTCTTGTTGTCTATTTGGTGTATGTGCATCCCGTGTGTTATACGCGTATAACGGTGTGAACATTCGCAGTGCTGTATGTTACATATATATATATATATATATATATATATATATAGTTGTGTGTGTGTGTGTGTGTGTGTGTGTGTTGT